CTGTTTACTGCTGCAATACAAGTCTGTGCCCGGCGTTCCCTCAGCCGGATCCCGTGCCCGGCATTCCCCTGAGCCAGGGCCCGTGCCCAGCGTTCCCTCAGCCGGAGCCTGTGTGTGCCCGGCGTTCCCTCAGCCGGATCCCGTGCCCGGCATTCCCCTGAGCCAGGGCCCGTGCCCAGCGTTCCCTCAGCCGGAGCCTGTGTGTGCCCGGCGTTCCCTCAGCCGGATCCCGTGCCCGGCATTCCCCTGAGCCAGGGCCCGTGCCCAGCGTTCCCTCAGCCGGAGCCTGTGTGTGCCCGGCGTTCCCTCAGCCGGATCCCGTGCCCGGCATTCCCCTGAGCCAGGGCCCGTGCCCAGCGTTCCCTCAGCCGGAGCCTGTGTGTGCCCGGCGTTCCCTCAGCCGGATCCCGTGCCCGGCATTCCCCTGAGCCAGGGCCCGTGCCCAGCGTTCCCTCAGCCGGAGCCTGTGTGTGCCCGGCGTTCCCTCAGCCGGATCCCGTGTCCGGCATTCCCCTGAGCCAGGGCCCGTGCCCGGCGTTCCCTCAGCCAGGGCCTGTGCCCGGCATTCCCCTGAGCCAGGGCCGTGCCCAGCGTTCCCTCAGCCGGAGCCTGTGTGTGCCCGGCGTTCCCTCAGCCGGATCCCGTGCCCGGCATTCCCCTGAGCCAGGGCCCGTGCCCAGCGTTCCCTCAGCCGGAGCCTGTGTGTGCCCGGCGTTCCCTCAGCCGGATCCCGTGTCCGGCATTCCCCTGAGCCAGGGCCCGTGCCCGGCGTTCCCTCAGCCAGGGCCTGTGCCCGGCATTCCCCTGAGCCAGGGCCGTGCCCAGCGTTCCCTCAGCCGGAGCCTGTGTGTGCCCGGCGTTCCCTCAGCCGGATCCCGTGCCCGGCATTCCCCTGAGCCAGGGCCCGTGCCCAGCGTTCCCTCAGCCGGAGCCTGTGTGTGCCCGGCGTTCCCTCAGCCGGATCCCGTGTCCGGCATTCCCCTGAGCCAGGGCCCGTGCCCGGCGTTCCCTCAGCCAGGGCCTGTGCCCGGCATTCCCCTGAGCCAGGGCCGTGCCCAGCGTTCCCTCAGCCGGAGCCTGTGTGTGCCCGGCGTTCCCTCAGCCGGATCCCGTGCCCGGCATTCCCCTGAGCCAGGGCCCGTGCCCAGCGTTCCCTCAGCCGGAGCCTGTGTGTGCCCGGCGTTCCCTCAGCCGGATCCCGTGTCCGGCATTCCCCTGAGCCAGGGCCCGTGCCCGGCGTTCCCTCAGCCAGGGCCTGTGCCCGGCATTCCCCTGAGCCAGGGCCGTGCCCAGCGTTCCCTCAGCCGGAGCCTGTGTGTGCCCGGCGTTCCCTCAGCCGGATCCCGTGCCCGGCATTCCCCTGAGCCAGGGCCCGTGCCCAGCGTTCCCTCAGCCGGAGCCTGTCTGTGCCCGGCGTTCCCTCAGCCGGAGCCTGACTGTGCCCGGCGTTCCCTCAGCCAGGGCCTGTGCCCGGCATTCCCCTGAGCCAGGGCCGTGCCCAGCGTTCCCTCAGCCGGAGCCTGTGTGTGCCCGGCGTTCCCTCAGCCGGATCCCGTGCCCGGCATTCCCCTGAGCCAGGGCCCGTGCCCAGCGTTCCCTCAGCCGGAGCCTGTCTGTGCCCAGCGTTCCCTCAGCCTGGGGCCGTGCCCGGCGTTCCCTCAGCCGGAGCCGGTCTGTGCCCGGCGTTCCCTCAGCCGGAGCCGGTTTGTGCCCGGCGTTCCCTCAGCCAGGGCCGTGCCCGGCGTTCCCTCAGCTGTAGCTTGTGCCCAGCGTTCCCTCAGCCGAATCCCGTGCCCGGCATTCCCCCGAGCCAGGGCCCGTGCCCGGCGTTCCCTCAGCCGGAGCCTGTCTGTGCCCGGCGTTCCCTCAGCCAGGGCCGTGCCCGGTCAGGACCGCGATTCCTGCAGGGTCCCGCACAGCCCTGCCCGGCAGCCGCTCCGATTCCGCTCCGGCCGGTGGCCCGGGGGTTCCGCGGTGTCCCGGCCATTGCGCCCCTGTTGCTGTGCCCGGCGTTCCCTCAGCCGGAGCCTGACTGTGCCCGGCGTTCCCTCAGCCAGGGCCTGTGCCCGGCATTCCCCTGAGCCAGGGCCGTGCCCAGCGTTCCCTCAGCCGGAGCCTGTGTGTGCCCGGCGTTCCCTCAGCCGGATCCCGTGCCCGGCATTCCCCTGAGCCAGGGCCCGTGCCCAGCGTTCCCTCAGCCGGAGCCTGTCTGTGCCCGGCGTTCCCTCAGCCGGAGCCTGACTGTGCCCGGCGTTCCCTCAGCCAGGGCCCGTGCCCGGTCAGGACCGCGATTCCTGCAGGGTCCCGCACAGCCCTGCCCGGCAGCCGCTCCGATTCCGCTCCGGCCGGTGGCCCGGGGGTTCCGCGGTGTCCCGGCCATTGCGCCCCTGTTGGAGCGGTTCACTCCCCTCCGGCTCGTTTGGAGCTGTCTGGCAGCTGCAAAAAGTAGAAGCGCTTTATTTTTAGAGGCAAAACCCGAGATTTGAAAGACGAAATCAAGTTTGAGTAAATTGAAGGAATTGGCATGCAGCATCACTTAGTGCAGGTAATAGTTTTGACACAAATAGATATATTATGTCTGTTCTGATTATTTTTCCATTTTCTGTCTGGCACATTTAAGATAGTGGAATTTAACTAATTAAATAAGCTTTTCTATTACTTTTCAATTCCCGTTATAATAAAATTCAGTGTGAGCTAAACTAGAAGTAAAAATGGCTACGTGATGAGATGTATAATTTTCTTCTCCGCAGGAGTGTGAAGTTTAGGAATCTGAATAAACTAAGGTTGCATAATTGCTTAAATAAACACCTGGGTAAGGTATAAAAGATAAAACTGAATATCTTATTCCA